GACAACACCAACCAGGTCTTAAGGACCACAGAGTCTCCAGCTGACCTGAGGGTGACAGCCAACTTCTCCATCTCTTACTTAGAGCTCTTCTCACTTCTAAAGTGCCTTTGTTTCCTGGCCTCACCTGTCCACACATGCAGAGGAGCCAGCAAAGGTGTGGAATGCACAGCAAACCTCTCAGGTGGGAGGGGAGCTGGGAGCAGGGGTGGAGCAGAGGATGCAGAAGGCAGCAAGGATAGGAGGAAGGGTGTCCTGCTCCAGCAACGGCAGCCTGCCTCCCTTCGTCACACAGAGGACTGGCGCAAGAGGAACAGCATCTTGAATAGAGCTGATACACTTGAGCCCCCCTCCCAAAACCTGGCCCCTTGCCTTCAGTCTCCAACAGGTGCTGACGCCCTCTGGCTACCCAGTCACCCCCACCCAGCAAGGAAAGACTCACACTGCCCTGCCCCTCTCCACAGGTCCTCCCTCCCTCTTTTTCACCAGACTAGAAGTGCCATGAGGGCAGGAAGGGTTGCTACTGGCTCACCCTGGTATCCCAGCCGCTGAAAGAGGGCTTGGCATGCACTAGCACTGAAAAATATTTGTCAAGAGGCTGAATAAATCAACTTCCCTTTGGCTAGGAATCCCAGAATATCATCCCTAAACTCTCCTCAGGGTACATGCTCACCCCAAAGACAGGCTCCAGAGAGGAAGTTCAGGCTCCTGTGGGGTAGTCCATGCTGTCCAGGGGCCATTGCATTGAATGGGTTTGCTCATCTAACACTGGGGGGCCAGAGACCCCCTTCTCTTTCACCCACCCCTCGTTCAGTCCCCTCTACCGGAGGGAGAAACATGGGTCAGCTCTGCTTCCTGCTTCACACCAGCCCCTGTCTGTGGCTGGAGCCTTCACTCAACAACTGAAAAAAAAAACAAAACCAAGGACACAGCAGGAGAGCGTCCCTGCCCATTCCTCGTCCACCATGTGCAAAGGGCAGGCCTGGTCACAATGGCAGTAATGTGTATAATTCCAGAACAGATGGGGTTTTCGTGGACTCTTTGTTGCCATGGTTACCTGGAGTCAATAAGTAATCTTGCTCTTGGCTTTGAACAGGTAAATCTGGAGACTCTGTGAAGGTCTGGCTGGAAGGTCTGTCTACTACTGAGCAACAACCTTTCAAACCACCCTCAGCTGAAGAGGAAATCCAGGTGAACAGGCTCCCCGGTTTAGTTTAAGAGACAAGGCTCCAAAATACACAAAGAATTGGACTGCTGAGAACACAGGCTAGGAAAAGCAACCCCATGAAGCAAAGTCCCTCACTGCCCAGGGTCCAAGCTGGGCCCCTTTCTTACTCCCGCTCAGTCTAACCATGACACCTTGACCAGTTAGAGTTTCTGGTGTTTCTTACCATGCACTTTCCTTTTGTGCTTCTCCGAGTGACAGCTCTTGATCTGTCACCAAAGGCCCCTGTTGATATCCCTGTCAGGGCCAACGTGCTGCCAAGACCTTTCTGGAAGTTAAACCAAGACCTTAAACCACCTCTGGGAGCCAGGCTGGGTCTTCCTCAAACAGGCAGAGTTGACCTTACTTCACTTTTCTGCTTCTCCATTTCTTCAAGATGACAACTTTGGACTAAGCAATCTCTAAGGTCCCTTTCAGCCCTGACATGTTCCCATTCTGCATTAACTAAGGTACTCTTGGGCATGCGGATGTCAGCAGTGAGTTAAATCTGCCAGGTCCTTCTGCCTCTGGAGTCCTTTCCTGATGTGAATAGCAGGAGCACGGGGTCTAAATCAGTTCAGATAATGTCTCAAATTCCCATTCTCCTCACCTAAGTGTATCTCTCCACAGTCACCATATTCAGGATTGAGAACTGGGGGTCAGATGTTAGGAGAGGGCTGAAAATGCCCGGCTCCACTGTCTTGATCAAAATGTTGACTGCGACATTGTTTGTAATAGAAAAAAAGGGGGACAAACTAATCACGTGTGGAAAGTTCTACTGTCCGTGTGACTGGAAAGAAGCACAGAGCTCTAAGAGCTCTAAGCCATGGCCAAAATGGTTCCATTGTCATCTTTGCCGACATGGCATCATTTTGGAAAAAAAAAAAAATCTCATTTTAACATATCATTTATGTTTGTGTTTGACGTTCAAAGATAAACCTATTTCCCTTTATAAACAACGTGTCGCTTCAACATGATGGAGAAAACCGAGAATTAACCTTTCCTGAGATACTCAGGTGAGCATTACTTGAGACAAGAAGTGATGTCAACAGGTGGCTCAGGGAACCCACCAGATTCCTTCACAAAATCCCACCCTGGTCCTTCAAGGTTGGCAGTCTGGAGGGAGGTCCTGTCTCTGGCTGTTTTTCCCCAAGGCCCAAAGGGAAATGGCAGCAGTTAATTGTCAACAAATTCCCAAAAGGAACGTAACCCTTGCAACCCTATGAAGTCCAGATGCCCTCTTTCCAAATAACCTTCACTCTCTTTCCATCCTGGAAAGATCCTGGTTGTACTTTCTTTTTTTTTTACCTTTTTTTTTTTTATTGAATGGTAACTATGTACATTAATGCACTTCTGGGGTACAGTGTGGGGTTTTCACATGCAATCTGAAATACTTCCATCAAACTGCTCAACACAGCCTTCATGTCATTTTCTCAGTTATTGCTTTAAAACGTTCACATTCTACTCTTAGAATGGTTGTACTTTCTTAGGCTTCTGTGCGTTGCCTGGCAGATAGTAGCATGTTCACTTCCTTCACAGACTTAAAAATCACTCTAATAATTTCACTATTCTCATTTCTGCTCAGTGTCAAGACACAAAAGCACATTTCAGAAGACACCCAGAGGGGAAGCAACTTGCCTACCGATCCCAGGCCATGAAACAGGGCCAGAAATCACAAGTCCTTCATGCCTTAGCTTATGTGCTCTTCCTGGGGGCCCCCTTTATTAGCATCTTCACCCCACTCTGCCTTCGCCCAAACCCTGATTACCAGTTCCAATTTACCTTCAGATCGTCAGGGATGAAGACTTTGCGGGCTTTCTTAATCATCGGCTGTGGCTTCAGTTCTTCTTCGGAGAACTTGCGTTTACGAGGGTCAAACATTTCCTGGCCAGGGATGCTGGAGAGGGCAAGGTCTGCCGGGTCTGGCTCATAGCCCACTGGGACTTGGATGGTGTCAGGGTCAATGGGACTCGGTGTATTGCGGTTTGCTGGCAACAGCTGACCTGGAACAAAACGCAGGAGTTTTGATTCATCAACATGCCAGGGAGACACAGTGGGAAGCTACTTAATGCCGTGGGATCCACGGCAAGAGTCCTCACCTCATTTATATATATGACCCCAACATCAGCCTTACCCGTCCTCATCCTTATCTTACTCATCCTCATCCTGTTTCTGAAACACAGTGGGCTGAGTGCAGCTTGACTCATATCCCATCAAGGAAAACAGAGACCCCCATCCACATGTGGACAAACTGGGGAGGGAGAGACAGTTAAAAACACGCGCATTCCTTCTTTCCTATCCCACGTCCACAGAGTGCCAACGATGCACCTGGCACTCTGCAAGGTACAACGGATAGAACTGCATGACTTTTACCTTTTTCCAGGTGGATGAGGACGACAGACCACTAACTAGCCAGTCAGGATGGCGTGCGGGTGATGGGACAGATGGGGACATGCGGAAACACAGGAGCGGCTAGGGAGCACTTCGAAGAGCTGACCCTTGGCAGAGCAGACGCTCGAGACAAACCATTATCAATAACAAAGGTATTGCCGGCAAAAAGACAGAGGTCTGCATATGTGAAGAACCATAAATAGCCTTGGGTTAGCGATAGCACTGAATCAGGAGACGAGATAGAGCGGGAAGAGGCGTTAAGATAAGAAGGTGGGTGGTGGGGAGAGGACAGAAGGCCCCAAATGTCGCTGGAGGATCCGGAGCAGGGAAGGATAGACTACTAGAGTCTGGGGAACAGACTCTGGCCCCGTGGTGAATGGGTTGCAGGGGGCCCTACGGGGAAACAGATCACATACAGCGCTGCTGTGATAAACTCTGCACTCATTAAGGGTGGCAGTGGAGATGGAGAGAAGGGGAGCAGTTCAGGAAATGTTTAACATATTATAAAGGACATAATAGAGACGGTAGAACCTCCACTTGGAGGGTTCTAAAAGCTAAACCACTGAAATGCACAAACATCCCCCGAACAATGGGTTTACTGTGTGTCTGGATGTGTCTGCTGGTCAGAGCCGAACTTAATACAGACCCAAATGTTTATGCTGGGAGCTCTGAATCTGAACTTCTCATTTCATCTGTATTTTACAATCGCTCCTTTCACACCCAGAAAATAAATGAGAGGATACAGCTCGGCTGTTTTTGGCCCATCTCCTCCTCTTCCTCGCTGCCAGTGGTAGGGCCGTGTGTGAGGTATTCTTCAGGTTTCAGTAAGACCTACCCCAGGCCAAAGCACGAAGCCATTGGCTGGGATTCTAGCAAAACTGTGAAACCGTGCTCGTCTGTCTTCTGGAAAGGCCTGGTAGGGAGTTTGCAAAATGAATGCTCTGGGTGACCTTCTGGGTCCCCTCTCGGCTTTGAGCTCTCTTTGTATCCCACTTGCCAAAGAGGAAGAGATGGGCCCCGAGGCGCTGGCAGAGGATGGAGGTTTCTCATTAGCTGAGCCGCAGCTCAGCTCCAGCTCCTAGAGACTGCTGAGTTCTCTATCCGACGGTGTCAAGCTAGATTTGATCTGTGCTTCTTGACATTGCCTCAGAAAATGAACCACATCTGAGTGAAATGGGGATTTTATTTTCCCTTTCGGGACTCTCTTTGAACTTGGTAACAAAGCTGCTCAGATGCCCCTTCGCCACAACTCCCCGCCCCATCCCCACACTCGCTCAGGCCTGTCCGCCCTCCTCCTGTCCTCTGGGAACATCTCCTCATACTTCCCAAATTGAATTGCCCCAGGCTACTTCAAACCTCAAGTTCCTCCTGAGGACTTCGGCACCCTGTTTATTATGCTATGTTAACACGTTCTCCTCTACTGGTTCAGATGTGTTTTCACACACACAGATGCCTCTCCTCTACACACCACGTGGTCGTTCCTGCTTTACTTATTTTATCCCACCGGACTCCTCACCAGGGTGCAGGCTTCACAGTTCAGCTTCTGCACAGAGTCTCCCTCAGTCAGCAGTGGCCCCTGGAGACACTGGACTCGGCCATTCATTCATGGACATTCTCACAATAATACTTCCCACTTAGGAGCAGCTTTTCTTGGCACGCTGTCTCTCTAGCTCGTTCCCCCAGCAGAAAGTAGGTCAGCCCCACCCGCAGAACGCAGAAAACCTAAGGGGACCCCAGACAAGCTCCAGGGCTTTCCCGTATCACCCAGCAAACAGCAAAGGAGCTGAGAAGCAAAGCCAGCCAGCCCCTTTCTCCCCAAAGATGCCTTCGTGCCATATTATTTATCTAGAATTTCTACTGAATAAACTCTGCTGGACTCATTATCCCTCCCTTTACTCTAAAATATCAACAGGATCACGGGGTAACAGGTAGTTTTTCCTATCACTGTGACTTGTCAAAATGGAGTGTCAAACTTTTAATAGAAGGGTCGGGTGCAGTGGCTCACACTTACTAGAGACTCTGGGAGGCCAAGGCAGGTAGATTGCCTGAGCTCAGGAGTTCAAGACTAGCCTGAGTAAGAGTGAGACCCTGTCTCTACTAAAAATAGAAAAACCAGCCGGGCATGGTGGTGGGCACCATGTAGTCTCAGCTACTTGGGAGGTTGAGGCAAGAGGACAGTTTGAACCTAGGAGTCTGAGGTTGCTGTGAGCTGTGACAATGCCACGGTGCTCTACCCAGGGTGACACAGTGAGACACTATCTCAAAAAAATTAATAAAATAAAAACCTTAATGTAAGAAATTACAAGGAGTAGAGAAAATGTGTTAAGAACTTTAAGTCCTCAATACCTGTCCTTGTTCTTCCGGAGGTGACCACCCTTGACTGCGTGACGTGAACCTGTCGTGTCTCGGTTTTAACACGTGAACGGTCTAACCCAAAGGGGATTATGCTACCCACATATCTTAAATTACTTTTCCAATTCATCAGGGACCCATAGCAGTTTCCCATGTTAGTACAAATACAACTACTTTGTTCATTGTAAAGAGTGAGGCGTACTCCATAGCTCGGACATAGAACAATTGATGTCATCATTCCCCAGGTGATGAATGATTAGGTATTTATATTTCTATAACAAATTTCTAAAAGTGGGGCTGCTCACATAAAAGACATGCACATTTTATAGTTCTAAATGTACTGCCAAATTGTGCTCCAAAAATGTCATTCCTATTTACATTTGTACCAACATTTATGAGAGTACGTATTTCCTACAGTGAAATATTAATTTTTAAATTGTTGCCAGTCTGATACGCACGAATATGACTACTGTTTTAATCTGCATTTCTGTGGTTACTAGTGACAACGAACATCTCACATGATTACTGGATATCTGTTTCTTCTCTGCACAGAACCTCTTCAGATCTTTTAACGTGGGATTTGTTTATTCATTTTTAAGAACTCTTTGTAGACTATGGATATGATTTTTTCACTTGTTTTATCTATAGCAGATGTTTTCTCCCATACTGTTGTGCTCTAAGTTTGCCTGTAGAGATTTTCACTATTAAGAGCTTTTACATGGTAATGTAGTAATACATAGAAATCTTCTCTTTTATGGTTTATGTATACTTGATCTCAAAATTCTATTTTATACACATATACACATATGTATATATACCTAAGTGTATGTGTATTACTTTATACTTTTCTCTAATCTAACTGGCTTACAATTTGAGTCACTTGGAATTTATTTTGGTGTACAGCCTAAGCAAAGATCTGACTAAATGTTTCCCAAATGTCTTAATACAATGATAGTAAACTTTGATATTTTATAGGGCAGGTTCTGGCCCTGCCTTGTTATTCTTTTTGGAACATTTTCTTGGACACTTTTATCCATATATTATTCTAGATGAGTTTCAGAATATGTCTATTAAATTATATTTGAAATTACTATTGGAATTTTAAAATTAGGAATATGTGAAAGCCATAGAAGACATCTTTAAGATA